GTGGCCCCTCCTTTTAGCCAGGACGGCTGATGGGTGAGGGAGAGTGGCTTGGCCAGCTCCCCCGCCAGTTTCCTCAGAACTCTTAGGTGGATCTCATCTGGCCCCATGGACTTGTAAGTGTCCAGGTGGCATAGCAGGTCGTTAACTGCTTCCTCCTGGATTATGGGAGGTTTATTGTGCCCTCCTTCCCTATCTTCCAGCACTGGGGGCTGACTACCCTGGGGATAACCAGTCTGACTATTAAAGACTGAGGCAAAGAAGGCATTAAGTACCTCAGCCTTTTCCTCATCCTTGTTGGCAATATTCCTCCCTGCATCCAATAAGGGATGGAGACTCTCTTTGGCCCTCTTTTTGTTGTTGATGTATTTGTAAAAACATTTTTTGTTGTCCCTTACAACAGTGGCCAGTCTGAGTTCTAGATGGACTTCTGCCTTTCTAATTTCCTCTCTGCATGATCTAAAGAGACCCCTGTACTCCTCTTGAGTCGCCTGCCTTCTCTTCCATAGGTGGTAGACCCTCCTTTTTTTCCTGAGTCCCAGCAAGAGCTCCCTGTTCAGCCAGGCTGATCGCCTTCCCGGCCGGTTCATCTTGCGGCACATGGGGACAGCCTGCTCCTGTGCAGTTAAGACTTTCTCCTTCAAGAATGCCCAGACTGCCTGCACCCCTCTGACCTTCAGCACTCTCTCCCAAGTGACTCTCAACCAGCATCCTGAACAGGCCAAAGTCTGCCCTCTGAAAGTCCATGGTGGTGGTTTTGCTGGCCCCCCTCTTAACTTCACCTCGAACAGAGAATTCGCTCATTTCATGGTCACTAAGCCCAAGACAGCCTCAGACCACCACACCTCCCACCAGTCCTTCTCTGTTAGTAAACAGCAGGTCTAGTGAGGCATCTCCCCTGGTAGGCTCACTTACCAGCTGTGTCAGGAAGCTATCTTCCACACACACCAGGGACCTCCTAGACTGTTTCCTCTCTGCTGTGTTGTATTTCCAGCAGATGTCCAGTAAAGTCCCCTATGAGAACAAGGGCTAGTGATTGTGAGACTTCCGCCAGCCTCTTGTAGAAAACTTCATCCACCTCTTCATCCCACTACATTTCTGTGATGGCAACCAAGTCATAGCTGTCCTGCTGTACAATGGCTTCCAGCTCCTCCTGTTTATTGCCCATGCGGCGTGCATTGGTGTAGATGCACTTGAGCTAGGCCGTCGATCTCACCCCAACACCAGCACGCCACGCCTGAGCTCATCCCTAGTGAGCTGGGCGATGTCCCCTTCCTCCTTCGAATCTAGGTTAAAGCCCTCTTGATGAGCCCCGCCGGCTCATGGGGAACAATCCTTTTTCCCCTTTGAGACAGCTGGACTCCATCTGTCGCCAGCAGGCCCAGTGTCTTGTAAACTTCCCCATGATCAAAGAAACCAAAATTCCACCAATAGCACCAGTCTCTGAGCCACCTGTGAATCAGGTGGGTTTCCCTGTCCCTTTCAGTGTTCTTCCCCGCCACTGATGGGATTGAGGAAAACACCTCCTGTGCCCCTGATCCTTCAACCAGTCGTCCCAGTGCCCTGAAGTCCCTTTTGATGGCCTTGGGACTTCTCTACATGATCTCAATATCACCAGTCTGCATTACCAACAGTGGGCAATAACCAGAGGACCGCACCAGACCAAGGAGCTTCCTAGCAACATCCCTGACCCGGGCCCCAGGGAGGCAGCAGACTTCCATGTGGGATGGGTCTGGTTGGCACATCAGGCCCTCTGTTCCCCTCAGAAGGGAATCGCCTTTTGACAATTACCCTCCTTTTTTTCTTAACAGGGGCAGTCATGTGTGGGGCTGACTGACTCTTCCTAGGCAACCCCCTGGATGGACCTTCCCCCACGTCCTCATTTGCCGGGCCCTCACATTCCAGAGCTCCGTATCTGTAGTGTAAGAGCAACCGGGGAGGTGAGGGAGGCCGGGAGGGGATTCACCTGCTGCCCCGAGCAGGGACCCATTTCCATTCCCCCCAGTATTAGGTCTCCTCTTTGAGCTTGGTGGGAAGAGGGTAGGGGGTCCTCTGCTTCTTGTGGAGCCATCATCTGCTGCCTCGGCCTCAGGGAAGGCAGGGTGCAGCTCCACCAGTCGATCTTCCTCTCACATTCCCTGATGTTCCTTAACCTCTCCAC